CAGAAGGCAGTAAGCTTTTGAGGAGGTTTGCAGTAAAGATAAGATGCTCAAAGTAATGCAAACTGAGATTTAGAGTGGTTCGGTCAATCTTGACCTACTCCACTTTTGGCTTCCTCCACCGACGAGGTCACCGACGTCAACTAGAGGCCTTCCTTCAATAGGCGAAGGCCAACCACCCTTTTACAGTTTCACTCCTTTTGACGGGCTTATGAGATAACCCTTACAGAATTTTCTCTCCTCTCTTTACAACTCAGAACTTGGAAGAAAAGAGGGAGAAGAACTTTTGGCCTTTACAACAATTTTGAGCTCTAAGAATCACAGAAAAATATCAAGATTTCGGTGTGTGTCTATGCTCTTTCAGTGCTGAATGGGTGGGGTATTTATAGGCCCCAACCCAGTTCAAATTTGGAGCTCAAAACTGTCAATTCCCGGAATTCCGGGATCTGGCGGTTGTACCGCCTGACTGAGGCGGTTGCACCGCCTGGCAGAGCTCGAAGACTGAGCCTCTGGGCGGTGCCACCTCCTGTCAGGGGCAGTTGCACCTCCTGCCAGAGCTCGAAGACCGAGCTCAAGCGGTGCCACCGCCTGACTGAGGCGGTTGCACCGCTTAGCCAGAGCTCGTAGACCGAGCCCAGGCGGTGCCACCTCCTGTCAGGGGCGGTTGCACCGCCCAGTCTCGCTCGGAGACTGAGCCCAGGCGGTGCCACCGCCTGGCTCGGGCGGTTCAACTGCCTGGCAGAAATCAGGGTCCGAATGGGTTGATCCATTCGGCCCAATTTGGGTTTTTCAAGGGCCCAATTGCCCTAAGATTAAGTTAATGGGATCACCTCCCATTTCCAACTTAATCATTGTGCTAACTACGATATTTCCTAAGACATTTACTGCAACTTGCTCCGGTGCGTCAATCGCTTCTTCCGGCGAGCTTTCGGCGAACTTCAGTCGAACTTCCGTCGATCATCCGATGAACCCTCGGTGATGCTCCTGCGGACTTCCGGCAAACTCCTGGACTTGCGACGATCCACTTGGCGAGTTCCGACGAGCTTCTTTGGCAAGCTCATGGACTTCTCGGATTTGTTCTCGCAGAATCTCCGACGACTGTCTGAACTTCCGTCGAACTCTCGAACTCCCAATGTGATCATTGTCTTGACTCCGGCGCAACTCCTGCTGCATATCTTACTTTCATCATAGTTAATCCTGTACACTTATCTCAACATATAGATTAGATAACAAATGACAATTGACTACATCATCAAAATCCGAGATTCAACATAAATTTGTGAATAATTTAATTTGTAAATTCAATAGATATAAGTTGATGGAAAACCATTTAAGATGGCAGTGATATGCTCACAAGAGATAGATGCTTTGGTTAGACAAGATGAGTAGAATAAGATTGATAGTGTGAGAGGTAAAGGAAGATCCAATATAACTTTATTAGGAAGAATAAGAAGATAGTTGACCTACTCTATTTCCTTAAACAAGACTTTATGGCAGGAGAATATATATCCAGTCGACTTTTAAATAGTTTGGGATATTATATCTTGTTGATTGTGTTTCAGAAGTTTTGAAGTTGTCTTAGACAAGATTATTGTGGAAGGACAAAATTTGCCAACATGTAACTTTTCTAGTACACAGTCTCTTATTTAGTTATATATCTGAATCTATATATGACCATGAGCAGATTAATTGAGTTGTCATTCTTGTTATTGTTTTAATGAAGTTATTAGTTTAGTTGTCTCCCTAATTGCTAAGCTTGAAGGTGCTTCTCTTGAAGTAAAAAATTCCTAGCTATAAGGGGCATATCCTAGGAATATGGGTGCAACATTTTTGGCTTTATGTTCATGGCTGACATTTATCCAACATAAATATGTGTTGGACTCATTATACATGTCCTATGTTTATACACCTGCACTATATTGGCAGCGGAGGAGCAGCAGCAAGCATTTCCTTTCATTCCAGGGAAGAGGGAAGATGTTCCTTTGAGTTTTTAAACATTTTCACCTACCAGATAAATCCTAAACAATCCAGCAAGTGAGACAAAGATGTTGTAATTGTGACATATGAATCATTTCTTTAATCCTGATGATAAAAATTTGAATAAGGAGCTAGTTATCAAAAAGTCTTAGACAGTTGTTGGAAGCAAGGATTGCAATACCATCCAGTATTTATTGCTCAGAAAAGGTACTGAAACACGGAGCAGACAAACCGATTTGTACAAGGCTAGTATACATGGTACCAACAGTACCAGGTTGGTATTGCCCGGTATAGGCCATGTACTGGTCTTACCACCTGGTACAAGCCTAGTACAAGGTGAAGCAAACCAACCAGTCGATAAAGGGATCTTGTCAGGCTATAAAGTCCCCCAAAACTCCCAAATCTGCCCTCACGCTCACTCTCTCACTCCCTCTCTTACCATTCTACGATGCAAGTATATGATCCCATTTATGATGCTAGGTATTTGACAATCTTTCTAATTAATAAGTTCTTAGAAGAAGCACTAACTTAACATCTTAGAGCAAAACTAAATATGACATTATACCAATTATGGACCATGGACTTGCTGGCTTTACATAATAGGCAGTCTGTTGCATATGATGGAATAAAATCATATAGTATCTGCAATTGTCAACATGGAATGGGCATGAGAACTATTGGCCTATTTAAATTCAGAAAACAAAGTGCTCAAGCTATGATAACTTTCTGACCTAAATTGGCTTTTTTTTTTTTGAATAATTAATTGCCATTAAGTCCTTAAGACTTGCTTTGTGCATTTCATGGCATGATTGTCTAATCAAACTGCTGGTATTTAGTCCATTGAAATTGCTAGATATTAGTAATCGTGAACAGTTGTGTAATTTTCCAAAGCAAATTTAAATAAGATGCAAGCATCATCTCCTTTTCACATTCAGTTATGTTGGGTCTCTCTCCAGTTATATGATTTGGTTATATAGACAGGTTTAAATGGTTTATTTTTCTTTCTGAACTTGTATCTGCAGATATTGTGTTCAAATTCTTTATTAATATTGTTTTTTCTAATGTTCTTCCTTTTGTATTATTTTAGGTTTGGCATCAAAGAACTTACCTTGCAACATGTCTTTCCTCCAATTAAAATTCCATTGACATGAGTACGAGATAGATACTGTGTACTTCACTATTTACTTCCCTCATGGTATAATGTCTAGGAAGCAGCACATTGCAATATTCACAACTGCAAGTCTTCCATGGATGACCGGGACTGCTGTCAATCCTTTATTTCGTGCTGCTTATCTTGCAAAGAATGGTGATAGAGAAGTTACTTTGGTTATCCCTTGGCTTTCTATTAAGGATCAAGAATTAGTTTATCCAAACAACATCACTTTCAATTCGGCATCAGAACATGACAGCTATGTACGCCATTGGCTTGAAGCAAGGATTGATTTTCAATCCTGTTTCAATATAAAATTCTACCCCTCAAAGGTAACACAACTAGTTCAATATCATTAAATTCTACAATTAAAAGAAATAGCTCTTCAACCCACTATCATATTCTTCCTCTTGGTTTTGCAACTATTTAATGCCCATGCATATATGTCATCTGTGTCATTCTTTACATATTCCCTCAGGTTCTTGAAATCGTGTAAAAACCTGCATTTTATATGTATGATTAAAACTCCTATTTTGGGCTTTTCATATTTGCGATTATTTTCATCTCAGAGTAGCTGGTTAATTCCGGTATAGTTTTTCAGTTATAAAATTTTCTTATGTTTTAATATTTATAGTGCAATTTATTGTTACTATCTGGTTCTTTGTAACAAACTTATGGATTATTATTATCATCCCACAGTTTTCGAGAGACAAGAGGAGCATTTTACCTGTTGGAGATATCACAGAAACTATTCCTGATGAAGAAGCAGATATAGCCATCCTGGAGGAGCCTGAGCATCTTAATTGGTACCATCATGGTCGCAGGTGGAAGACCAAATTCCGACAAGTGATAGGTATTATTCACACAAATTATCTAGAGTACGTGAAGAGGGAGAAGAACGGGCCACTACTATCCCTTGTTGTAAAATATGCTAATACCTGGGTTACTCGTATCTACTGCCACAAGGTATTTTTTTAGACCATTTAAGTATATACTTATTTCTCTCTACATGGTTGCTCTTTTATGGATAAAAGTCAAAATTAATTCTTGAGTAATCTATCTGATAATATTGAGAATCTTCTGAAATGCATGTTAAACATTACAAGTTCATTATAGTGCCCTTTAGATTATTAACCTACACAAGAATGACCGAGTCTTCTTTGATAATATTTTTGGTTAAGGAGCCCATCAACTTTATTAAAGAAGAGTAAATGAACATTGGGTACCACTAATATGACATTTCTCAGTAATAATGGTGTATGAATTGAACTTGGCAAGATTAAAGCTGTAGAGGATGGCCTGAAGGCCCTAGACCAACCACCGTGAAAGAACTCAAGAGGATCCTTTGGACAGATTTGTACAGGGTTATGAATGGTTAGCAGCCCTGGTAACTATCTCTTGAAGAGGATTAGTTTTATCTTTTAAGTGAACTGAAGCAACAATCTAAGCCTTTGGAGAACTGATAGCAATGATTATCATGCTAGTTATAAAATTCCTTGGGTTTAACGAGTCATTTGAAGTTGAAGCCAAAATTTCTGAATGAAGAATTAGTTAAAGCTATTGTATATATACGTCCCTTTACAAATTTTTGTAGGGTCAAATATGCTGTCAGTTCATAAAAGGGAATTACTTGCAAGGGTGATAGCTCTTTAGATGTGGCAATATCATTAAAATGATCATACTAGAGCGGATTGTCACTGCTATACCAGCTTGACATAAGTTGATCGTGGAGTTGCTAAAACAATTCAATGGAGGATTCACTTCCAAAATGTCCATAGTAGGTAACTTACTAACTTTATCTTCACCTTCATTTTTTATCTTGGATAATCTTACAGTTTCAGGAAAAATAATTAGACACTGCATGACTGAAAAATTGAATAGATACTGATCCATCCTCATCTAACACAAGGTCTGGTTTTCCTACATCTACAAAAGGGGTTGACAGTACTTGGAAGGAACTGTACATTGGAAGAGCGGATCTTAGCTTATTTTGATGATTCTTTTGTGGGATAGAGAGGTATGAGGACCTTAACGAGAATCGGTGAAGGCTCAAAACCGGCTTAAATTGTGTAAAGATATATCCTACCATGCCTTAGTGTCACATGTGAACGAGTGAAATATGAAACATGCAGATTCTTAAGACTCCTTTTCCCACCGTCGATTATGAAAAGAGTGTACGAAGGCATTTTAATGGACTCCATAGACTGATTGTTTTAAGTTAAGCAGAAGTCCATTATGATGGTAAGAATAACTTGACTCACTTAATATGCACATTTTGTAGATCCATTTAAGATGATCACTGCATAAGATCTCTAGTCTGGTGGCTAGTCCAATATTCAACCAAGGATTTAAAATTTATCTTAGGTGCTATGCAGTAGGAGTCATCTTTTGGGCATCCAAAACACTATGTTTTTTGCGAATGACATACTGGAACTAATTATGTGTATGTGAAACTTCCTTATGTCTTGCAGTACTTCAATAGTCCCACATCCGGATGACTAGGGATTGATATAGACTTAGTGGCCTACTATTGATGTCTTGGGTTTAATCACTGTGGGACATGTTGCTTAATATTGTTCTGTAAAAATTATTTAATCAGTGGATTACGTGGGTCATGATAAATCTTCTCAGATTATGCCCGTGCCATAAAAAGACAAATTATGCTAATCTATTATATTATTGTACATTTATATATTTATTTATGTATTTATATATTTATATTTGTTTGTGTATATACATTTATACATATACAATGTTTGTATGTACATTGTATATGTGTATATACAGTGTTCGCACTTGCACAGATCATGTGTACGTGTGGATGTGGATGTGGATGTGGATGCACAGGTGCAGATAGGCATGTGGGTTGGAGGGTAGGTGCATGTAAGTGTGGGTGTGCACACACAAATACAATCAAGAAGTTTAAATAAAATCAGCAATAACATTTTATTATTATTCCTCAAATTGGCATGATACAAGAAAGTTTGGTAATTCTTGCACATTTCAAGGATGTTCACCTCACAATCTTCTTTTAGTTCTTTAATCAAAATCTCCTGTTTTATGATTAGAGTGCTATTGCTACTTAACTGTAAACAAAGGACTGTGTCTATAAGAAAGTTAAGATGAATTCATTGTTGCAATATTATCATTATGTTACAGATTATCAGATTATCAGCTGCTACTCAAGATTTCCCAAGATCTGTCATCTGCAATGTTCATGGCGTCAACCCAAAATTTCTTGAAATAGGCAAGGCAAAGCTTGCACATCTCCAGAGAGGTGAGCTAGCCTTCACCAAGGGTGCCTATTACATCGGAAAGATGGTGTGGAGTAAGGGCTACAAAGAGCTCCTTAAACTGCTCTCTAAATACCAACAGAAATTAACTGGTGTGCAAGTTGATTTATATGGGAGTGGAGAAGACTCTGATCAAGTTCAACAAGCTGCTGAAATGTTGAGTTTGGCAGTTAGAGTTTACCCTGGTCGTGATCATGCAGACCCTCAATTCCATGAGTAAGTTACATACTTATATGAACTAGGAAGTTTGTTGAAGCATTGGGCTAAAAATACATGGTTTATTATTCTAGTTTACAACACTAAAAAATCTAGAAAATTCTTTGGGGTTAACAGAATGGTATGTTGTATCAGTCTGAATGTCACCTGTTCATGTTGACATAGAAGCCAAAGTTTGTCATTTGATCATAGTATGAAACACAATTACCATATGGTACATTCCAATTTGGCAATTTCTATATGTAAAATGTTTATGGAACTATAGACTCCCTGCTAACAGTGACAATGGATTTTTCTTTTTTGTTTGAACAGCTACAAAGTTTTTCTGAATCCTAGTACAACAGATGTGGTCTGCACAACCACAGCAGAGGCACTTGCAATGGGAAAAATCGTCATTTGTGCCAACCATCCTTCAAATGACTTCTTCAAGCAATTTCCCAATTGCTACATTTATAATGATGATGATGATTTTGTGAAGCTGACCATCAAAGCTTTAGCTGAAGAGCCTTCTCCATTACCAGATCATCTCAGGCATCAGCTCTCGTGGGAAGCAGCAACGGAAAGATTTCTGACTGCTGCCGAATTAGATCCGGTTGTTCCAGAAAAATCTCCAGCATCATCATCCAAGCCTTTCTTCTCATCCTCTTTCAAGTCTCGCAAATCGAAGAGGAACTTGGAAGAGGCGTCTGTATACTTGCATCAAAAAATTTCTGGAATCGAGGTTGCACGTCGCGCATTTGGTGCAATTCCTAAGAGCTTGAAACCTGATGACCAGCTATGCAAGGAACTCGGTTTGGTTATTGCAGAAAAGAAGCCAAGTCGCAGGCGTTGATACTATGTTTTTTTCTTTTTTGAAATCTCTTAATCATTTTGTTGTGTATGAAAATTGTACCATGCCAAATGCTCTCTCGAACTATGTTAATACAAGGAAAGAGAGATCCTGGGAAGAAATCTCGAGTTCTTGTTGATGTATATTCTTCGTACATTTCCAATGCAAAATCTACCTATATCCAATTTCGCTTCCATGAGAAATCTATGAAACATCATTACTGATGTAAATTATTGCACAAAAGTGTGCTTCTCACACATTTGTTAGACTATTCTGTATTGACATTTTATTCATCAATAAATGAGGTGGAACATTTCCATTGTTGTCATGCGCGTTCGTTAGATCAGTTTGGTTATGTAGTACGCCCCGATCATCCGTAATTGGCTGTGTTCCGCGTCTTGAAAGCAGTCTCAACTCCTGCGCTAGTGAGGTTCACGTGGATTATATAACCAAGCTGCCTTCTCCGTCAGCCTGAAGTATATATATGTATACATATATATATTATACATATATATATACATATATATATGTATTCATCCGTAATTGGCTGAAGTATAAACTGTTCCAATTAAGGTCCCGGTTCATTGCTTCATATCACTTTGTTTTTGGAGTGTATAGATGCATGATACATGGATAGAAGTAGTACCTTATTGGCTCATACTGTAAGGTTACAGTGGTTCTCGAAGGCTTACTTATGGCAGAAAGAGAGCGGGATTCAAAGGATAGCAATTGAATCTAATTCTGCGATTCTGACACATATGCAGACCGAGACAGCTTCTGCACCGTGACCTATTTTTAATATTATGAATAATATTTTTTAAGGTAAATTCGAAAAAATTTACAGGTATGTGGGTGGTGTTTTTTAAGGTAAATTCTTGAAATTTTCATAAATCATCTCTATTTCCAAATATCTCCGTAGACAACTTTACATTCAATTTTGGTTTGATTTGATATGGTTCATTGGTGATTTAACATGATTGAGAAAACGTACATGTGAGTTTACAAGTACGTGGGTGGTGTTTAGCTGGATGAAGACCTTTTATCTTTTTCTTCTCTTTTTTACTTGTCTGTTTATCTTTCTTTTTCTTTGGCTTCTCCATTCTTCAAGGTCTATACGTGGGTGGTGTTGCTCCTTCGTCTTTCCTCTTTCTTCTTATTTATTTATTTATTTAAACATTAAATTCATTAAAAAAATTTTGATCATTTAATAATTATTTAAACAGGATAAAATATATTTAGGGTTTTCATGAATATAGTGACATTTTAATCATATTTCTCGAGGAACAAACTGGTATTTAAATCCTCTTTCCTTATTTGATTTTTTTTTTCTTTTCGAAATCTAGAAGCTTATTATAACTCATTTTACTATTATATTGGTTCATAGATTATTAAGTTATATGCTTGTTTTTCTATTGATCTCATTGTAAAGTTGATCCACTTTCCGATGAAATATTTTTTATTTTTGACGATATTGATAGTCAGATATTATGTGAGACATTATATTTGAGTGAAACCAATTGTCAAATAGCTAAGATTTTATCACTACCATAGACTTAAATAACTTATTTTATTATGATAAAGATGATGATAGTAATGATGTCTTTGAAAATGCATTAGTTGAAGAAAGAATACAAGAAAGACTGAAGGTGACATTAATTCTAATATTTATGATGCATTAGATGTTGTTGGTAAGTTATTTGAAGTGTTTGTTGAATATAGCTGTAGCAAAGATGATAGTCTGTTGTTAAACACACAAATTCCTTAAGCTAAATATGATAATTGTTCATATGTTAATTTTTTTTATTTGTCAAGTATGGTATTTAATGACATTAAGATTATTTTGTTGGATATTTTTGATATATACTATTTTGTAACCCAATAAATGTCATAATATAGGTACTCTGAGATAGGAATGAATTCAAAATGTCTTAAAAGATTATGTGACTCTAAGAAACTTTGAGATCAAATATGTTACAACTAGAAGTTATAAGATACAAATATAATATATAGTTGTCAAGTTTCAATGGATGATAGTAGCTTGTGATGAAACTGATAGTTTCAAAATTATAATTTTGAAATATAATTTGTCAAATTAAATAGGGATAATAAGGAATGCAATAATTTTTTTTATTGCAAATCAAATTAAAAATCAAGTTACTAAAAATGTTAATTATACTCCAAGGATGATTATTATTGATATTTAAAAAATAGAATTATTATATCATACAAGAAAGCTTATTTTGTATGGTAGATTATACTTAATAAAGTTTGTGATGACTTTTGACTAGTCATACACTAATATAATATTATTTCTAATAAAATTTAAACTACATGACTATGAGACTCATGTTCAAATAACAATGATATAAGAAAAATATTTTCAAAAAATATTTTGGGCTTTTGGAGCAGGTCCTAGAAGTTTTAAATTATATATATGATTTATTTTTGGTATTGATGCTGCAAATGTACCAAGTAGATATTCTAGTGCTTTGATGAAGGCTATAGCTTTTGATAGTAGTAATAAATTATTTTCAATTACATTTGCTATGATGGAGATTAAGTGTAAAAATTCATGAGAATGATTCTTATATCATTTAAGAACATATATTATCGAATGTAAAAATTTGATGATTATCAATGACTGAAATCTAAAAATTCTTTCACCTATGAAGAAAATCTTCCCAAGAGCATATCATAGTTATTGCATGATTCATCTATCAAAAAATCTTATGATTGATGTATGAGAACGAGATGCTACAAAGCTATTTTTGACTATTGCTAGAGCCCTAAGTTTAATAAATGCATATAAAAGTTGAGAAAAATTCATAAAAAAACTTTCATATGAATATCAGAAATTAAGGAGAAGAAATAGGCATTTGCATTTTTTTTCCTAACTGTTGATATATAATGCTTAGAAAAAATAAGTATAAATTCATTACTTAAAGATATTCATGGCTTAACTATTTGATTAAAATTAAGAGGACGGAGTTTGCTAAATGATTCTACATTTATCGTGAAATAGATGATAATTTAAGATTAACTTTGTTAAATGTCTTTGAGGATCAACTTGTCTAAGTGAAAGATAAGGGTCAATATTATAGTGTCTTTCCTTGTATTAATACTAAATTATAAATATAGATATCATTTTAGACATTTATAGTAGATTTGAAGAAAGGAAGCTATTTATATAAATATTTTAATCCATATTTATTTTATGAGAGGGGGGGGGGGGGGGTGGGGGGAGGGAATTACGTTTGATGAAAATCGATATCGGAAAAGAGTGTTTGACTTACAGTAAGTGAACTAAGCAATTAATTTATAAAGTAATAGCAATGATAATGAAAAGCAGAGTAGAAATTGTACACCGAGTTTATAGTGGTTTAGTCATCATGATCTACATTCACTCCCGATTCCTCTTCACTCGAGGTCATCAGTATTCACTATTGATCTTCTTTCAATAGGCGAAGATCAACTATCATTACAATTCTTCTCCTTTTCATAGGCTGAGGAGAGAACCTTTACACCTCTCTTTCTTTTAGACCTCATTCCTCCCTTACAATCCTTCTAACTCTAGGAGGAAGTGAGTCACTAAACTTAGAGAGATTACAACACTTTTTCAACTTAGAATTCTTTTCCATTTCTGCTCAATTCTTATGTTTCCATATAGGAACAGCTGGGGTATTTATAGACCCCAAATGACTTAAAAAATAGAGCAAAAAAATATCTCATCCTGGGTTTCCTGGGTCCTAGCAGTACCATCGCCTATGCTGGGTGGTACCACCGCCTATAGCACTAATAGTGGGCGGTACCATTGCCCAGTCTGGTGGTACCATCACTTAACAATTTGGGAGACTATATTTAGGTGATACCACTACCTAGTCTATGTTAGAAAATAAATAGATAAACAAGTTGTAGAAGAAGTTGATTGTTATTAACATATTCCCCTTCTTTTTATACAGGTTAGAAGGGAGAAATTTCCTCAACAGGTTAAAGGATTTCCCTCAATAGAATAGAGAGATTTCCTTAAACAGTTAGGGAAATCTCATCTACTATCATGCCCCCGTAAGATTGTACTCCTATCAAGGAGGCCAATCTTGGACTGATATAATGCAAAAAGTTTACGAGCTAGAGGCTTCATAAATGAGTTGGCCAATTGATCAGCCGTATGAACATGAGAAACATGAAGTTGACGGCGGACAACTTGATCGCGTACAAAGTAGAAGTCGATAGCAATATGTTTCATGCGGGAGTGAAATGCCAGATTAGCGCACAGATAGGTAGCTCCAATATTATCATAATATATTGTAGGGGTGGAATCGATGTTGAGTTCCTGGAGTAGATTTGTGATCCAATTGAGTTCTGTAATGGTAGCGGCAATGGCACGGTATTCAGCTTCAGTTGTAGACCGGACGACTGTCTTTTGCTTCTTAGAACTCCAACTGATTGGATGAGCACCAAGGAAGATAATATACCCCGATGTGGATGTTCTATCATCAAGGTTACTTGCCCAATCAGCATCGGCAAAGGCATGAAGACGAAGTGGAGAGTGTTTACGAAAAAAGAGTCCATGATTTAGGGTCCCTTTAAGATATCGCAGAAGTCTCTTGACCGCAAACCAGTGTAGAGTAGATGGTTGCTGCATAAACTGTGATAATTTGTTGATAGCAAATGAGATGTCTGGACACATGAGAGCTAAGTATTGTAAAGAGCCAACAACTTGGCGGTATTGAGTGGATTCCGTAGCAGGACTTCCATCCGATAATTTGAGAGAACGACTAGTAGAGATGGGGGTTGTAGCTACATTTTCATCCTGCATGTTTGTCTTTAATAACAAATCTTGAATGTACTTGCGTTGTGATAAAAGGAGACCGAAAGATGTGAAGGTAGCTTCGACGCCCAGAAAGTAGCTCAAGAGTCCGAGATCCTTAAGCGAGAATCGAGCTGCCAGCTGTTTGATGAACGCTTGGATGCTAATGAGATTATTGCCTATGACAATAATATCATCCACATATACCAGAATATACATTGTGTTTCCATGATGATGTCGCAGAAATAACGAAGTGTCAGATTTGGAGTTAAGAAAGCCGACAAAAGTAAAAAAATGAGCTAAGTTCAGTGTACCAAGCTCTCGGAGCTTGACGAAGTCTATAAATGGCTTTCCGAAGTTTGCAAACATGCTGTGGATACTGAGGATGA